CAGTCTCTATACAAAATATCTGGATCCACATCTCCCAATTTAAGGTCGAGATTCATCTGCATGTACAGCTACATTGAGTGTGAGAGACAAGTCAGGAAGAAATTGGGCAGGGCTGTAAGATGCCTTGACTTAATCCGAAAGCAAGACAAGAAGCTCCCTTACATCTCATTTTTATCTCTCTAAGACAAGGAGCAAGGAGAGAAGAACTAGCGATGGATAATAAGGATATGAGCAACCCATCCAATGTTTAAAACTGGCAAATATCCATAAAACAAAGCAGGGCTCAACCATTTTTTGTTTGCTTCAGTTTTCTATTATTTTATTTTAGGCAAATCAAAACAAATGGAAAGGAAAAAAGACACCTTTTACAGCTGAGAAATGGAGGCATGCAATGAAAATTCAGACAGTCCTGGTTGGAATGGTGAAGCTCATCATCTTTCCCTCCAAGGATAGGCCTAGGAAGGATTTTCATTCCTGAGAAATCAAAAGGTAGATTTTGGTCAGAATGACAGACAAACACATAGAGAGTGTGAGAGGGAAAGTATCACTCGAGGGATTTTCTTCTTTGTCCATTACAGATGGTTTCTCCAGGGAGCAGGGTATTCTGAGTCACCTGTTTCCTGTGGTGTCATGGGCTTCCCCTCTGTGTTTTACCTCACATTTGTGGTTTATAATGCAAGCTCTTTATGTTCCTTTGTGAAATCATAGGACATGAGCGCCCCCACCAGTAAAATTCTTTCTTGAGCTTGTGGAAGAAATTTCCAGGAATAACTGGCTTCCTACATACCCAGCAAAATAACAGTTATGTCCTCTTTCAAGCAGTTCATTTCATGGTAGATATTGGGTCTGTCTTTGGAGGTTGTAAACTGTTTGGATTATTATGAAACAACCCCGATAACGCTGACTTTTTCGCGATCACTATAGCGATTGCAAAATGATGTTTCCTATGGGGAAGTTCCACTTGATGTCGATTAGGTCTGTGCTTCGCGAACCATTTGTTCGCAAAGACGACGATTTTTCCAGCTCCGCAAAATGGCTGCCCTGTCTTTTCCGGACCCATGCTTCACAGGGCAGCCATTTTAACAGCTAATCGGTGCTCAGAAAATGGCTTCCCCTATGGGCATCTTCACTGGACGATGAGGTAATTTCCCCATTGGAACGCCTTAAACCAGGTTTCAATGCATTCCAATGGAAAAAGCTTTTCGCATGACGACAATTTCGCTTAACAGTGATTTTCCCATAACAGATTATCGTCGTCATGAGGGGAACCACTGTATTATGATTGTTCACTTTACAGTCCCCTTGTGGTTCTCATCAGTATTGTTACCTGACCAATGCTCCCCTTAATATAAATAAGCAGAGATAGGAAAAGGAATATTTGAAGCGCTCAAGGATTGCACAGGTGGCTTTGGCCATGGCCAGGATTCAGCAGAGATGGAAAAGGGCATAAGAAGATTGAGATGTTTTCAGCCCTCAGCTCTTTATACATCATTGGTAGTATTTATTCTGTGATATAATGGGATTCTGAATATGACTTCCTGCTTTGACTGGGCTGTCATGAATTTCTAGAGGAGAAAGACGAGAATTACGGAAGGAAAGGCTTCTTTCCCGTTGTTGCACACAAAACCACAAATGACTGATGACTGGAAGAGAAATTTTTGAACGGCCTCTGAGAGTGGTTTTCTCACTGTGTCTCTTGCACAGTAATACACGGCACTGTCTTCAGGCTTCAGGTTCCTCATCTGCAGGAACACTTGGCTTTTTGAGAGGTCCCTCGTGATGGAAATCCGGCTTTGGAGAGCACTGTTATAAGCATTGCTTCCACCACTCCAGATAACTCCAGCCCACTCCAATCCTTTTCCTGGAGGCTGACGGATCCAGTGCACACCATTGCTTGTGAGAGAAAATCCAGACACCGTGCAGGTCAATTGAAGGGTCTCTCCTGGCTTCTTCACACCCCCACCAGACTCTCAAAGGGATATCTGTGACAAAATACCTGTAGTCCAGGAAGAAGATAGAGAATTTAAGAGAAGAAAATTGCAAAAGAAACCAATAGACATGACTGCAGAAAAGGAATCATTTTCTTACATGGAAGGAGTGTGAAAAGAAAAATGAGGAAGAGCTGCAGGTCCATGACTTTATCCAAAGTCATCTGCTCCTCAAAGCCTGAAGATAAACTGAACTCTCTCAAGGCCTTCAGCTCTTAATACCTGGTTACGATCCTTCTATTTAAACAAGGCCATACCAAACACTCATTTGCATGTTGTCTTCAGTGCAGCTTATATGGCAAAAGAGGTACAAATCACACCTTATGTTGTGCTTGCCCAGCTTCCTTTTACAATGTCATGCTTTAGCCCAACCTTTTACCAAAGCAATAAGGGATGGAGAAAAACTTGAAAACCCACCTTTCACCAATGCTAGATTGCTCCATGATTGAGGCATCAGGCTCTGCAGCTGGAGTTGGAGAATTTCTTTCCTCACTGTGCCTTTTGGACCTGGGCTGGACCCAAAGATCCATAAGATCAATGTTTGAAAGCAATGCTAATTTGGCCCTCCTAAGGGAACATGCTTAACTTGACATCTTAATGTGCAACAAACTAGAGTTTCCACTCCAGAAATTTTGAGGTTCACATTCAAAATGGGAGCTGAGTCCTCCAAGCTATGGGTTTTGCCTCCCATAAACTAAAAATCTTAGCAGGTTGCAGAGGAATTCTCTGTGACAATCTGACAACCCCAAACGTTTTACCACTATACACTCACACTTTGGAAATTGTTCCCGCCATCTTAGCGCTTCGACGCTTCTGAAGATTAGAGGGTTTGTGGTATAATTTTCCACTCTACATTATCCTCGTATTTCTCATCAGAACTGTTATCACCAGTGTTCCTCATATTTGAAATAAGAAAAGGCAGGAAAAGGAATATTTTAAGCTTTTGAAAACTGTACCAGTGGCTTTGGCCATGGCCAGTACTCAGCAGAGAGGGAAAAGGGGTATTGGCAGATTGATATGTTTTCAGCCCTCAGCTTGGCTCAAGGAAAGATGCTCCTTTCTCCATGATTTGTGTGGATAGAGACACTGAAATTGCTGTGTAATATTTGCTGAGAATCACAATAACATGCTTATTTATCACACCAAATAATGGGCGGTCATCTTCCCAGGTATTTGCGTTATCTATCTCATACTATGATTTCCAGTATCAAAAACATTCATGGTGCTCTTTAGCTGGATGGAGTCTCCACGCTTTGTAATTTATGGACATTTAATTGGAGTTAATATCCCAGCAACAGGGGTTGGGGGGGAAATGCCACTTTAAAGACTTAAATTGTGGTGATAAGCCTTTAAACAGCAAGGCGTGTACGTCAGACAGCTCTTTATATATCACCTGTAGTATTTATTATTGGATGTAATGGGATTCTGAACTTGGTTTCTTCCTGTTGCTGTCTAAATGACGTGGGATGTCATGAACTTCTAAATGATAAAATCAAGAAGGGGAGAGGGAAGAGAATTCAGGAAGGAAGGATGTGGCTTCCAGTTGTTGCACACAAAACCAAGAATGGCAAATGTCTGGTTTGCCCAGGAAGAGACATTTTTGAACGGCCTCTGAGAGGGCTTTTCTCACTGTGTCTCTTGCACAGTAATACGTGGCACTATCTTCAGGCTCCAGTGCCACCACGTCCCGTTTCCTCCAGAGAAATTGTTTGTTCATTCGTTCGTTCATTCGTTCAAATTTCTGTACCATCCCATTAGTGCAATGCACTACTCTGAGCCGTTTACATCAAAATAAAAACTTTATAATCATATGTTAAATAAAAACAAACGAACAAGCCCACAAGGTGTATATTGCAAAATAAAACACAGAGCCCCAGGCTTATCAACAATCATAAGAAACAAGAAAAACCCATGAAGCAGGGTTACTAAAAGAGGCCTTCCTGTAAAGCAATGTTTTCAAAGGCCTTTTAAATATTGGGAGGGAGGGAGTCAGGAGTTGGTTCCAAAATGTTGGTGTCACAGCGAAGAAGGCACTACATCTGCTAGATTATTTCCTTTGGAGGGGCCACCCAGAGGAGCATTAGCTGGGACAGCTTCATGGAGTGGGTAGATAACCTTGGGGAACCTTGGGGAACCTTGAGGAACCTTGGGGAACCTTGGGGAAAGAGATTCTCATACTAGGGTCGGAAATGCCTAAAATGTACAAAACTGACAATCAGGCAAAAGTTCTGTCTACTTACTTTGATTAGCATGTTCAGTAGTCAACTAATCATGTTGGTATCCCTGTCCCAAAGGAATCGGGTGTCCACCTGATCATCATCCAAGACATTGGGGGGGGGACTTTTCTATAGTTCTGAAAACATGTGGGAGATCGGTATTATCACTGAAGGAGGGAAATACCTCTTTCTTCCCATCATCAAAATCACTATAATTAGTTTTCCCCTGGGTAAATCATGTAGATTTTCTGGAGGCTTGAAAACAACCAAGACACGGCTCAGGAAGTGGCTATATTCACCCCTCCCCTTGGGCCATTCTGAGAAAGGAGCAGGGAAAGACGCAAGGAGACCCCTCTGAGTCTCACCACTGACATTTGCTCCTTCCTGTCTTCCCGGCTGAATTTGGTCAATGTATTTGCGAACTCTCTTCACTTGTTAAAGCAACCATTTCTAACACTACTGGTGCTTTAGAGCAGTGGTCCCCAACCTTGGGCCTCCAGGTGTTCTTGGACTACAACTCCCAGAAGCTTTCACCACCACCTCTGCTGGCCTAGATTTCTGGGAGCTGAAGTCCAAGAACATCTGGAGGCCCAAGGTTGGGGATCACTGCTTTAGAGAACAAGTCTGTTCTCTTTTTTATAGAGAACAGTGGGAGAATCGGGTGTTCAAATTACCCTCCAGGAGACATGCAGGTTGTGTAGATGGGTACCAGAGGGTCTTCTTCTCAAGAGAGGACTCACTGCTGGAACGGTGCATCAGTTTTACTGCTCTCGCTTCTTTTTCTTCAATGGCTACAACAAGTAGATACCTTGAACTGCTTCATGACAGATCCTGTCTTTGAGACACAAGAATCTTACCAGCCAGGAGACCTCTTGGTCGGTGGGATTGCTTCACAGTTTGTGTTTTTTTCCCAGGAATTTTCTTTCACACAATATCCTTCGGAGGAATTTTCTGACTACATCATGTGAGTAACTCTTTTTTCTCTCTCCATGCAAGATGCAAGGTTACCCAGAGCAGAAAACCCTGAGTTCCAACCCTAGGGAGAATCTGCAGAGCAGAAAGTCTTGCCAGGGTAACAGCAGAGGATTTTATGGCTTGCTCAAGCATCATTATGCATGTTGTGATCTCTGCGGAGGAAAGCCACTCTCTTAATTTCTAACAGCAAGTCTTGTAGAAGTGACGTGAGACCCCATGCCTACACTGGCAGGACTTTTCTGTCCAACAGAGGCTTCATAGGGTACCTAAGCATTGGAAATGAAAGGAAATATTATCTTTCTAGGCACAAGTATGGGGCCAGGGGTTGGGAGTTTGATTCCCAACTGTGCCTCCTTGACAATGGCTGGACTCGGAGATCTATCGGATCCTTTCTAGCTCTGCAGTTCTAAGATTAAGATTAAGATTAAGTGTTTCCTTCTCTTATGACTGATATGCACTCTTAGAAACCAGTGGCACTCCCTTCTGTTCAATGTAAATCTCTTTCCTATCCTTGCATTTTTTTTTTCTCTTTGCCTTCAATTTCCATTTGAGAAGTGATCACATGTTCTCTCTGTTCAGGCTATTTTGCCAAATACACCTTTTGCATGCCAAAATACAATCTACATGGTATGAAGAATTTGGTGGAAGAAAAGACATTGAATGAATGTTCTACGAATTGAACCGTCCAATTTCTAAAAACTTAGTGCAAAAAATATATCTAATAAATGCTTTTTTAAAAACCTGAACAGAAAGCAAGGTATAAGGAACTATTTTAAATAAGGGAAGAAAGCAATAATGTAACTTGAAACTACTAAAAGCACTTTTATTGCATAAAAGAGAAAGAGCTAAATTCTTATCATGAAACTAACATCAAGTTTAACAATCAGAAGGGTCCAACATTAGAGCTGGACCCTAAAGAAGACTGACCACCGAAGAATTGATGCTTTTGAATTGTGGTGCTGGAGGAGACTCTTGAGAGTCCCCTGGACTGCAAGGAGAACAAACCTATCCATTCTGAAGGAAATCAACCCTGCGTGCTCCCTGGAAGGACAGATCCTGAAGCTGAGGCTCCAATACATTTGTCATCACATGAGATGAGAAGACTCCCTGGAAAAGCCCCTGATGTTGGGAAAGTGTGAAGGCAAGAGGAGAAGGGGACAACATAGGACAAGGTGGTTGGACAGGGTCACCGAAGCTGCTATCATGAATTTGACCCAACTCCGGGAGGCAGTGGAAGACAGGAGGGCCTGGCGTGCTCTGGTCCATGGGGTCACGAAGAGTCGGACATGACTAAACAACTAAACAACAACAACAATTACCAGAAGTACAAACTGAAAAAGAGAGAGGAAGAGAAAAGCATACTGGTTCTAGGAGAAACTAAAGAACACAAATTGATGCAGTGAGGACAGGATCAAAGGCAGTAAAATATAACTTGGACAGGTAAGGAAAGTGGGAGAGGAGGGGTAAGGAATCCTGTGTAATTAAACAACCTAGGTGTGTCTCATTTTCCTTTGTTATCTACTTGCTCTCATGCCTCTGTTTTTAAATTGCATTTATCTCTGTCCTGTTTTGTCTCATTTTGAAAGAGTTTTCTGTTAAAAACTAGCCTTGAAAAACTTGGACAAATAACTTTCATAGTTCTCTAATAAAAATGTCTTTAACACTTATTTGCAGTGTGATGACTAAATTCTACCAGCACATCTTGTCTCTGGCTTTTGCTGTCAAGCAGATCAATGAGGATCCCAACATCTTACCAAACGCCACACTGGGATTCCACATCTATGACAGCTACAACGATGTTCAGATGATCTACCGTTCCTCCCTGTATCTTCTCTTCAGATCCCATAAATTTGTGCCCAACTACCTATGTGGAGTCCACAAAAATATAATAGCTGTCATTGCAGCTCTTTCCCCGAAGACATCATTTCTCATGGCACAAATCTTGAGCATCACCAAGATTCCACAGGTAACATCTATTCTGAGAATTTCACTGAAATTTTATGCAAGCCAAAATTTCTCACTTTGTTTTCTTGAAGTATATTGTTTGGAAACCTCATGAAAAATCTTCCCTTGGTTTCAGAGAAGACCTGACTCTCCCTGAGTCCCAATTTTTCCCCACTCCAAGTGCTTTCATCATAAAATATTGCATTTAATGTTAGAGTGTCTCTGTTTTTGAAGCTAGAGTGCTGAATGAGTTTGATCTTCATTCTGTCAAAAATTATTTCAGCTCACTTGCAGCTCGTTTCCCCCAGCAGAGGATGAGATGAGGCAACGCCCTTCCTTTTATTACATGGCCACCAATGAGAAACCTCAGTACATGGGGATTATCCGTTTGCTGAAGCATTTCGGGTGGACTTGGATCGGGCTGTTTGTTGTGAATGATGACGTTGGAAGTAAATTTTTGGAGATCATGGAACGACTGTTTTCTCAGAATGGAATCTGTTCTGATTTCACAGGACGAATCCCTCTCCAAGACCATGTACATGATGAGGTTGGACAACAACATCTGATCTCTAATATGTATCAGATCTTCCAATTGTTAACATCCAAAGTATTGGTCATCTATGGCAGTACTTTAAACTTCCTGTGGCTGAGGTCCATTATCAATTTTGGAGCTCCTGGAGAATCTGAAAATCCATTTCTTGGAAAAGTGTGGATCCTAACATCCCAGATTGAGTTTGCAGTGGTACCGTATGCTCAAAAGTCAAAGATGCAGCAGTTCCTATTTACTTCCTACACAATTCACTCCAGTGAGCTTCCGGAGTTCCAAGAATTTCTTCAGAACATGAAACCTGATTGGAGAGAAGCAGATGGTTTTCTTAAAGAATTCTGGGAACAAGCATTTGAATGTTTTGTTCCAGATCCCAGGCTGCCCTACGAGGTCTCTGGAACATGTACTGGGGAAGAGAGGCTAGAGGACCTTCCGTGGTCTTTTTTTGATATGCACATGAGTGGCCACAGCTATGGCATTTATAATGCTATCCATGCTGTGGCCCATGCTCTACATGCTTTGTACATGTCCAGGTCCAACTTCAGAGTGAACAAAAATAGTGAAGTCAAAGATATACAGCCTTGGCAGGTAAAGTCTCCTCAGTGAAGTACCTTCTCCTCTGTGATTAACACAATGTCGCATAGCACCTGACTATTGTCATCAATAACTGAGGAATGGTGTCACCCTTTATGCCTTTATAAAGCTTCACAGACATGCAGTTTTTCCCTCCTTACAATCTACAAAAAGACTATTTCCATCCCCCATCATGGGGGGAAAATGAATCATTTTTAAAACTAAATCTATGTTAGATATAATGGGTCAAAACAAAATTTTGGCGCACATTTATATTACCTGAATATTTTAACTCCTTTAAGCTGGTGGCTACCCTGGCCAATGAAATGTAAATTCTACGAAGGATGGCCAGTATTGCAAAAAATGTAGATAATGTTGTTCTGAAAACACAAAGACTGCCTTTGCTATTCAAGCAGAAAGACAATATAGCTTCACTCTAATAGAGAAATGTAGGCATTCTCCACAGGATCCACCAATGTTGCAAACTCAGTTGAATAATAATATGTTTTCTCATCTTGGGGAGCCCATAACCTTTTACATGTAGTTTGCTGATCTGGTGAAACTAGCTGTGTGTCCTGATGTAACCTTTAACTGCAAGAATATTACTATTCCAACTTCCATTTTGTGCTCACAGGTTGCATTTCCAAGGTTACAATAGAAAATTTTTGATAATCCAACCAAAACATAGAAAGTAAAGTTACACCCAACACTTATAATCATTATATTTTTGGAAACAGATAGGGCAGATGATATAAATTAAAATTAAATGTATTGATCAAGAGATATATAAACATATATTACCAAAGGTGGTGAGTTGCACTGCATACTGGAGTTATGATTGTATTTGTTATTTATGTTTTTGTTACCAATTAATGTTTGATGTAGAAAAAGAAAAGAAAAGTTACTGGCATACATTATTGATGTGGAGACTCTAATATGTTTAGCTTTTTCTTGCTTCTTATTTTTCAACCTAGCTTCACCCGTTCCTTCAACACGTTTCGTTTAACAACTCAGCTGGAGAAAGAGTGTCCTTCAATGACAAGAGGGAAATGGTTTCCGGATTTGATATTATGAATATCGCTGTCTTCCCCAACATGTCCATCCATAAAGTGAAAGTGGGACGAGTAAATCCTGATGATGGCCTTGAAGGAAACATATTCACCATTAATGACAGCATGATTACATGGGATAAGAGCTTTACACAGGTGCGGACCGTTGAACATACCTGGTGACAAGTGTATCATAAGGGTCAGTGATGTCAAAATGAGAAGCAGAGTGATCTTTGGAGACAAAATCGACCCCTTCTTCTGCCTGGTGTAATGAAGCATGCAAACCTTGCCTTGATAAAGACAGAGGCAATGGGAAAGTCTTACATACAGAGATGGGCATAAACCTCAGTTCGACTATTTTGCTTGGACTGACACGGCATCTGCATAGGTGTTACACAGGTACATTTCCCTTCACCACCTCCTCAGGTGATCATCCACTCACTGGAAAATTCCCTCCTTCACTTCCTTGGTCCATCACCCACTCAGAGGCAGGGTTCCCTGCCCTGACTCTTCATTTGAATGGACAGCCACTGGAGGAGGCAGAGGAGAGAAGCACACTGTTGCCAGTGAGTGGGCTGTTGTGCAGAGCAGTGGTCTCCAACCTTGGGCCTCCAGATGTTCTTGGACTGCAACTCGCAGAAGCCTTCACCACCACCTCTGCTGGCCAGGATTTCTGGGAGTTGAAGCCCAAGAACATCTGGAGGCCCAAGGTTGGGGACCGCTGGTCCAGAGGATACAGGGGAGGGAAGTGTGTGACACCTGTGGAACACCTGTGCAGGTGCTACACCAAACTGTGCTAAACCCCACAACCACAGTTTCTGCTCATCCCTACTCGCATTTTTAAAATTCCTTGTAACTCTCGCTTCCTTTCTTGGTACATATGATTCTCTTAGCCTCCTGAAAGAAGACCCACCTTTGTGAGAGCATCTTCAATTTTGAGAAAATGAAATTGATTTAGAGAGAGCTTTTATACACCCATGCACCCTTTCCGATATACCGTTTCCAAGTATCTACAGCTGTAACTTTACCTATTCTTATTCTGTCATCATCATGTGTTGTCAAGTCAATTCTGATTCATGGTGACCCTTTTCAAGGTTTTCTAGGTAGAGAATTCTCAGAAATGGTTTACCGTTCTCTCCTTCTGGGGGCATTCAGGGGCTGTGCAGCTTTTCCACATTTGGCTCTACTCCCAGGAGGCACTGTGAGGAATCGAACTCCCAACCTCCGGCTCTACCACCAGCTACCTAAACCACTGAGCTATCTAGCCCACCTTTATCTGAATCTGTAAAATACATGTCTGTATTTATAGTTATACAGTCATGCCCCGCTTTATGATTGCCCCGCATTACGACAAAACCACATTACGACAACGTTTCTGCGATCACTTTTGTGCTCGCAAAACGATGGTCTGAATAGGGGTTTTTCGCTTTGCGATGATCGGTTCCCTGCTTTGGAAACCGATTCTTTGCAAAACGACGATTTTCAGACAGCTGATCAGCGGTTTCAAAATGGCCACCAGGTAAATAAAATGGCTCCCCGCTGTTTTCTGGGATGGATTCCTCGCTGCACAGGCACAGAAAATGGCCACCCTATGGAGGATCTTCACTGGACGGTGGGTTTCCAGCCCATTGGAATGCATTGAAGGAGTTTCAATGCGCTTCAATGGGCTTTTTATTTTCGCATGACGATGTTTTTGTTCTACAGCGATTTCGCTGCAACGAATTAACGTCGTAATGCAAGGCACCACTGTATCTACATCTATACTTCCGTCTTTTGTGCCATCTCCATTTCTATATAGATCTATATCTATAGCTTTACATCTCCATCAATACCGATGCTGATACAGATGCATACACAGGTGAAGAAAATAAGGTAAATACGAACTACATGTTGTTTAGTACTACACCTTGATTTATCCTCCTGAGAACAAGCATTTGGCTACAAAGGTAATGTGGAATATTCAACCAGCGGTTGAAGAAAACTCTGGTAGATGACTCAAGGCACCAAGTTCTGGACTCTTCCGCACCAACTTTTACCGTTACATCATATCTGAGTTTTCCCCCCGCATTACGACAAAACCACATTACGACAATGATGACTCAAGGCACCAAGTTCTGGACTCCTTCCACATCAACTTTTACCCTTACACCGTATCTGAGTTTTCCCCTCTTACTTTTCTTTTCAATGGATAGGTGCCTCCACTTTCCGTCTGTGCCAAATCCTGCCACCCTGGTTATCAGAAGAGAAAGAGAGAAGGGAAGAAATTTTGTTGTTATGATTGTGTCCCATGTCCAGAAGGGAAGATTTCCAATGTCACAGGTAGGTCGTGTGGTTAACGTGGGTGAAAATTCATTTCCAACTCGTCTAGAACCAGATGCATATTTAAATAAACACAACCACCAGTCCCCTGATCCTCCCAATACCTAGATGAACCTTCTTCATGCAGGCTAATAACCCCAAATAATTTCCCATGGCCACCAAGGAACCTTTCCTTATCAGAACTGATATAAAATTGTCTTTTATCAGGACAGTTACAAGAACAGTTCCAAATAAGTGATGTTGTAGATATGGAAACAGACTGAAAGAAACACAGTCATCATGTTGTCTCTTTCTTAGATGAATTCTAGAGGTAGAACCCTCCATCTTCCTAAAGGCAAAAAATAATACAGTGTTGCCTCGCTTGATGATGTTAATTCGTTCCAGCAAAATCGCTGTAGAGTGAAAACGTTGTCAAATGAAATAAAAAAAACCATTGAAACATTAAAAACCAGTTAATGCATTCCAATGGGCGAAATACCTAATCGTCCAGTGAAGATCCTCCATATGGCGGCCATTTTCTGTGCCTGTAAAGTGAGGAATCCATCCTAGAAAACAGTGGGGGGGGCATTTTCTTCAGCAGGCAGCCATTTTGAACCCCAATGATCAGCTGTTTGCTGATCGTCGTAATGCGAAGAATTGGTTCCTGAAGCAGGGAACTGATCGTCGCAAAGTGGGAAAAAAACATTAAAACATCATTTTGCGATTGCAATTGAGATTGCAAAAACATCATCGTGACGCGGATTCATCATTATACGGGGTAATCGTTAAGCGGGGCATGACTGTATCAGGAATCAAATAAGTTCTTAGAAACATCTTTTGTAATAGACTTTGGAAAGGAAGCAGAAGTTCCTGGGAAAGAAACATAAAACTCTCTCCCTTGTAGAGTAGCCTCCAAGGCTAACCAACATTTTGGCCCCCAGCAACAAATGGAGGTCACGTAGATATGTAAAAGACATCACAACACACAAACTGTTTCTGACTGTGATAGGAATGCCGGTAATTGTTCCATCCCACTGTAAGCCTTCTTCAGCTGAAGCACATTGTCCATGTCCCTAGCTGTACCAAGAACTCCAAGGTTACTCCCTTCCATAGTTTGACTCATGACTCAAGACTGGGTATGTTTGGGAACAATGGGAGCATTACAGCAGAAAACCTTTTCTCTCTGTGTGTGTTCCCTTATTTTCTCTCTCGTCTCCTTTCCATGAGATCTTGACTCACGTTGTCTTTTCACCTCAGCCTTGAGGACTCTCAACATGACCCACTCATTTGTTCAATGATCCTCTCTTTCCCCACACTCTCAATCCCCTTGGGGTTCAAACACTCTCAGGATTCCCATCTACACCAGGCAAGCTTCAACCTCTTCTTTTGCATCTTTCCAGTTTTCTTCCTCCTCTTGCGCCTCCCCTTCATTCTGTTCTCCTGTTTTTCTCATTACTCCTTTCTTTCTCAATTCTCCCCTATTTTTTCCTCGACTTTCCTTTTATCCACTTTCTCCTCCTCCCCTAGGAGTCCTTCTTCTTCTACAATGTCTTTCTCTTTTCCCACCTTCTCCTTCTCCAGTTCTGAATCTCTTGTGGTTCCCCCTAAGTCCACGGGAGAGCTAGATGTGGGGAAATCTTCCATGCCTCTTCCTCACATGCATGTGGACTACAAATCTGATTAGAGAAGAAAACAAACAAGAGAGGGATGAGAACAAGTGCTGAATTGGTTATAAACCGGGAAAATCCCATCATTCATACTAGTCAAAGACAATACCCTAGGAAGAAACTACACAAAAGTTTAATTGCCAGTAATCACGTTCAATTCCTTGTCAAGAAATAGTTCATGAAGAGGAAGGTGCTTTTTAAAAAATGTACCACAAACTTGTGTTTCATACCTTTCTCCATGAAATGGAAGATTCCCCAGAGGAACTGAAGAGTCAAGAAACTTGAGATGTGGCCATCCATTTTTATGATTTTGTTGTCTGCATTTTCAAGTACAGATAGAGATTTATTTATTTATTTATTTATTTATTTATTTATTTATTTATTTATTTATTTATTTATTTATTTATTTATTTATTTATTTATTTATTTATTTATTTATTTATACCCCACCTATCTAGTCATTTCGACCACTCCTGAACCAGCAATTTGTGCAGCATCATTCAGTGGCAAAACAGATGTTCAAAGCACTTCAAAGCCACACCTCCTCCAGTGGGCACCCACTCAGACACAGCATGCAGAGGAGGAAGGGCAGGGAAGCCAGGCTGCTACTTCTGAGTGGGCGCCTGTCAGAGGAGGCAGGGCTTTGAAGCAGCAAACACCTGCTCGACAACTGAATGACTCAGGACAAATCTCTGAACCAGCAGTTCATGCCCATCTCTTAAGTACGGGATGTAAGTTCACAGGAGTCAGTCCAGTAGAAATATCTCCCACTTCACAAACAGCTTAGCATTATGATAATGATGGTTCCATTTTTTTTTTCAGACTCTGTTAACTGTTCCCCATGCCCAGAAGATCAGTATCCAAGCAAAGGTCAAAGTCACTGCCAACCCAAACGTGTATCTTTCCTATCCTATGAGGAGCCCTTAGGAAAAGGTTTGGCTTTACTTACTCTTTCTTTCTCCCTGATGACCATCTGGGTATTAGGCATTTTCATCAAGCACAAAGAGACACCCATTGTCAAAGCCAACAACCGGGAACTCACCTACATGCTCCTCATTTCTCTGTTGCTCTGCTTCCTCTCTTCTTTACTGTTCCTTGAGAAGCCTGGGAAACTCTCCTGCCTCCTTCGACAGCCTCTTTTTGGCATCATCTTCTCCGCCGCTGTGTCTTCCATATTGGCGAAAACCATCATTGTTGTCCTTGCTTTCATGGCCACCAAGCCAGGGTCCAGCCTGAGGAAATGGGTGGGGAAAAGAGTGGCCCCCTCCATTGTCATTTCTTCCTCCCTCATTCAAGCAAGCATGTGTGTTCTCTGGCTGGGTACCTCTCCCCCATTTCCAGATGTTGACTTGCATTCCGTTGCTGAAGAAATCATTTTACAATGCAATGAAGGCTCTGCTGTCATGTTTTATCTTGTCCTGGGCTATATGGGACTTCTCGCCACCATCACCTTAAGTGTGGCTTTTATAGCCAGGAAGTTGCCAGACAGTTTCAACGAAACCAAGTTCATCTCCTTCAGCATGTTGATTTTCTGTAGCGTTTGGTTGTTGTTTGTTCCCACCTATTTGATCACCAAGGGGAAATACATGGTGGCTGTGGAGATCTTCTCCATCTTAGCCTCCAGTGCTGGGTTGCTGGGTTGTATGTTTCCCCTCAAATGTTACATTATTATAGTCAAGCCTGAGTTGAACAGTAGGGAGCAGCTAACTAGGAGGAAGAATTAATGCATTACTCTAGTCCAATTAATTCTCTTACATCAATTTGAGGAGATGTCCTCATTGTAACTTTGCGATATAACCATATGTGTGAAGATAGCAATTATATAAATGTATTAAAATACCCAACAGTTGCATTCCCCCAGTGTCCCCTGTTCGTTTTCCCTCAAACACAGGTCCACCTTCGGACACGATGTACTATTTTCTCCCTTTACATGCTGCCACCAGTGGGTCTTTATCCACAGTGTACCAAATATGTTTCTTAGACCCGGGCTGCCAAATATAACAGGTTTATTTATTGATTGATTGGTAAATCGCAGAAGTAAAGTCATAGGTGTTCTTTTATGGTTCAGTCATTAAACTTGGATAGGATTACACATTTGCTTGTTTGTATTTATTCACATTAACCACTGTAACAATATCTTATGACTATCTATTGCCTATTACTTTTATCTCTTATCTATTCTCTAACACACACCAACTTTCCAATCTCTGTCTTAACCCTTCAAAAACTCTCCAACTGTTCTCTTGACTCCTCCCCTCCTGTCCTGCCACAGGCTCCTGCCCTAGAGCTCCATATGACGGACAGGCATGACTTGGGCATTCCGCCACACCAATATATTCTCTTGTGCCCTGCAAAGCCCAATGTATTATGGGAAACACACCCACTCTGTACTAAACATGAAGACATTACCATCCCTTGTAACAAATGGTATCATAAAACAACAGCGAAGCTTGGTGAACCCGGCACTGAAAGGCTAAGAAGCGCCAAGAGGCTTGGTGGAATCTTGGGGTTGAGAGGCTTGTTGGAGCCCAGCCTTCTAAAGCTCTGCCAGCTGTTCTGTTAATGGTTTCAACCGGCGTTGGCAATGGTGGAGGCAGATTGAGCCGAGGCGGCAGCGCTGTTGTTACCCACTTAATGAGTCTCCAGAACGTTTGCTCTGTGAGTTCTGTGGTTCCATCATCAGCAATAGCCCTAGAAGCCACTCTCCCTTGCCTCTTCACCTGCCATGCTCTGTGAGGGTTTTTCACCTGACCTCCCGCTATGGAGAATGGCAACAGCGGCGCCTTTTTTCTATCAACTTTCCTGCTACCTTTATTCCACCTTTTTATCATTGGACCAAGCTTTGCTTGCAGTCACTGCCCTCATTACCTTAATTCTAACAGCCTCCTTGGAAAAGACAAGATCTACAGACAAGATCTACAGACATGACCTGGGTGTGGGGGGGGCATCGTTTTATATTCTGTATTCTTTATTTTATTTTTACTCTATTTTATTTCATTCTATTTCACTTTACTCTGGTTTTTTTTTTGCCCTCACTCATCTTTATTAAACAAACTTATACTCTTACACTTAGAGGCAGGGTGGTTGGATGGGCCTTTCTTTCTTTAACTATACGAACCAGCTTACACTACCCTAAGTTGCAATCATTATTTAAATAGCATTAATGTCTTGCTTACTTTTATTGATTCCAATTTAATAGTGTGTAATTTATTTGTTTATGTTAATTTGTTATTGTTAATTATTGTGTACTTACTCTTTCCTTAACTGAGTTTTCTGCTACTGTTAGACTGCTTTGTGCTAGGAATGAAGGACTGCCTACCAGTGAGGGCTTCAAGAACATACAGGTGATTACGGGTAGGGAAAGATATGGCGTTGGTACAGCTGTTAGTCATTCCAGAAGAACAGTGAACAGATGCCTGAAAGCTGTCCATTGTTCTGACACTGTTACCACCTGCCAGGCTCTAGGTAGCCAGCTCAGTCGTCTCTCCACTCTAACTTTGGTGCTGTTGAATGGCAGGTCTGTATCCAATAAAGCCCAGTTAATACAAGATCTTATTCTGGAAAACGATGCAGATCTGGCTTTCATAACCGAGATGTGCATGGGCAGTGAAGGGGGCTCCCCAGGATCAGGGGAGAGGGAATTACCATTGTTTATAAGGACACCCTTGAGGTTTTCAGGCTCTCTGCCATGGTGATGCCATGCCTAGAAAGCCCTCCACATGTCAACTGGGGCCAAGGATGGTATTGGGATCTAAATGGCATACCTTGCTCCCCATGATCCAGCCACTTCCCTACCAGAGCTAACTGACTTCATCTCCGCGACTCTGTTGGGATCCATGAGACTAATTGTCTTGGGTGATTTCAACGTCCATGCGGAGGTGGAGGTTACCTGCTCTTGAGTTTTTGGAAACCATGGCTTCCTTGGACATGTCCCACCATGTTAACAGCCCCACACATGTGGGTGGCCACACTTTGGACCTGGTTTTCTCCTGTACAGGTAGGCAGGCCCTACAGCCATTACCTAGCCTATCTCACCTTTTCTTTTCTTTTTTTCCTCTCCTACATTTTTTTCTTTTTTACTTTCCTATCTTGGACTAATCTGGATTTTATCTTAGTTTATTTTTATAGTATATGTAAACTGCCCAGAGTAGACACATTCTAGATGGGTGGTATATAAATCTACTCAATGAATGAATGAATGAATGAATGAATGAATGAATGAATGAATGAATCAATCAATCAATCAATCAATCAATCAATCAATCAATCAATCAATCAATCAAATATACTTGAGCCTCTTCCTGAGGGGAAGTAATTTATCATGTTAGAAGGAGAAGCAGATGTCCAAAGAATGTTATTCCATTTCAGTAATATCCCAGGAAATACACTTGAAAGAAAATTCTAGATTTAATTACTCTTTTTGTGTTTCCCCTAAATAGCTATGCACACATGTTTTTGTTCTTCAGGGAAAAATCATTACTACACATTGCTATGTACTGATTTTCCCTGATAGCTAGCAAAATAAAATGCTTTCCTGAAACCTCTCAAATGCACTTCATGACATTTTCTGAGAAGTCTCTACAAATGAATATGTGAATTCCAACTCGCTCTAATGACTTAACATGTATGTTCTCTAACTAAGCAAATCCAATTGAAATCTAATATACTTTCATGTCCTAAGGAAAAACAATGGGTTTGCAGCTGGATGGATAGTTCAGTGGTTAAGGTATCTAGCTGTGGAGCCAGACGTTGGGTGTTCCATTCCTCACTGTCCCTCCTGTGAGTAGACCCAGCCTGTGTAGCCTTGGGCAAGCTGCAGAGTCCCAGAGCACCCCAAAAACAGCCTGTATGTCCTTGGGCAAGCTGCACCAGAGCACCCCAAAAAGAAAAGAATCGTAAAGTACTTCTGAGTATTCTCTACCTGGAAAACCTTGAAAAGGGTCACCATAAGTTAGAATTGACTTGACAGCACATGGTTATTTTTGTAGGGTGCTAGTTAGATACTCTGCAGTGACTTCTAAAGACCATTCCGTTCCTTACTACTTAGAAATTTTACTTCTAGTCACAACTCCCATCTTCAGAGTTACATCTCGTACCCTTATTAAACATTTCGACTTTTTTAAAATAAAAAAATTGTACAGTCATGCAATACGACCAACTGTAGCTTGGCTTTCAGACAATGTTTGGTAGAAACAAGAGGTATATACTCAAGAAAGAAATGAATGATTCAAGAGTTATCAGATTTAGAGACAAAGAACCAGATCTTCACAAAAACCAGAGAGATGGGCCATGTATGAACACAGAGAGCCCCAAGAGATATACTTGTTGCCGTAACCAGCAAACACTCACTTTCATCAAAGTTGAGGATTGCCAATATTTGGCAATTGAAAGTACAGTCATTCCAGAATTTGCCTTTGCTTCATTCTTTTCATTCTGATGACAAAACATGGCAGTTCATTGACATCCTGTGATCCCTACATTGTGAAGTTGTCCCCCTACAACAGTTGTTCCCAGCCTTGAGTTCCCAGATGCTCTTGGAGTACAAGTCTCAGAAATCCTGGCTACCCGGGGAATTTTAGTCCAAGAACATAGAATCATAGAAGCACAGAATAATTTAGTTGGAAAGGGCCTATAAGGCCTCTGAGTCCAACCTCTCCTCAAGGCAGGAATTCAAATCAAACCAGATCTGATGGGTGTTTGTTGAGTGTTCCCAGCCTTGAGTTCCCAGATGCTCTTGGAGTACAAGTCTCAGAAATCCTGGCTACCCGGGGAATTTTAGTCCAAGAACATAGAATCATAGAAGCACAGAATAATTTAGTTGGAAAGGGCCTATAAGGCCTCTGAGTCCAACCTCTCCTCAAGGCAGGAATTCAAATCAAAGCAGATCTGATGGGTGTTTGTTGAGTTTTCTCTCAAATCCCTCCAGTGTTGGAGTGCTCACCACCTCCTGAGATCATTCGTTCCATTGTCCTACTGCTCTTAACAGTTAAGTTCTTTCTGATATTAAGCCTAAATCTGGCTTCCTGTAGCTTGAGCCCATTATTACATGTCCTGCATTCTGAGACAATAATCCTGTAGCTTCAGCCCATTATTATATGTCCTCATTCTGGGACAATAAAGAACTGTTCCTGCCCCTCCTCTGTAGGACTGCCTTTCAAGTATTTCAAAAGTGCTATACTAACTACCCTCAGTTTTCTTTTCTCAATGCTAAACATTCTCAGTTCTTTCTAAGAAGTCAAGGTTGGGAACCAGTGCACTAGAGAAATTATGCACACTTTTCACACTGCTTTGTCACATTGGTGGAAAATGTACAAAATTTTACAATCAGGCAAAAGTCTTTGTAGTTAGATTTAACATTTACTGCCGGGTAGGTGGGGCTCGTCAGCCGTGGAAAGCAGCCCATCTAGGAGAAGGAAAACTCCGATTTTAAACCTCCACTGCCTTGTGGCTCTATCCACTCATGGAAAAGGCTTCAGGAGTTAACCTCGAGGCAAAATCCGGAGCCGGAGTCCCAGAGGCAGTTTGTGTTGTTCTGTCAACTCCTGCGACATTGCTGGAACCAGTTGTATTGGCCCTTGCCTTTCCATTGGACCATTTCAGCAATGTGGAGAGGGGGGGGATCTGCTGCTTGGGTAACAGCCTATCCTCCATATTACCTTACCCGGGCTTCATGCTCTGGAGAGGACACTCCTCGATTCAGAGCATGTTACCATAGTCTCTCGAGACTGAAGGATGCCTATGTAACATTTACTGTTCTTAGTCATGAGTTAGGAATCCAGTGTGGTGTAATGAAAACAGTGTGGTGTAAAGGATTCTGGAAACCAGTGCTCAAAGCCCCACTTGGCAATGGAAGTGTACTGGGGGAGCGGAACTGGTAAAACCACTCTTTAGGTGCCTCACCTTGAAAATGAGAAAAAGAACCCAAACTAAGGTAACTATAACTATAACCCAAACTAATAAGGTCACCCAAACTATTAAGGTCACTATAAGTCACTTCCAACTTGATGGCACATAACTAACTAGTCATAGGCTGGTGAACTAGCCATGTTGGTACTTCCATACAAAGGAAACTTCTGATCACTGTCCCTGTGGTGAATAAGCCAAACTTTTAGATAGTTCTGAAAACATGTTCATGATCAACATCATAATTTGGGGTGTGGTGGGAGAGAGAGAACACACCTGCCATTAACAAAAACACTGTAATTAGCTTCCTCCTAGGAAAATCTTGTAGTATTTCCAAAGACTCAAAAACAATCAAAACACAATTGAGCAAGTGCCTATATTCACCCCTCTGTTTGGGCCATCCAGAGAAAGAACCAGGGATGGAAAGCAGGGAGACCTCTTTCTGTCTCATGTCTGACACTTGTCCCTTCCCATCTTCCTGGCCAAACTGTGTCAGTGTTGTGGCGATCTCTCTTGGCTTTCTAGAGCAACCATTTCTAAGACTGTAGATGCTCTAGAGAATTGACCTACTCTTTCTTTAAAAGGCATAATAGAAGTACCCAAGTTGAGCCAATGCTTGGAGTACCCAACTTGAGTCAAGGAGACAGTATAGATGGGTATCAGAAGATTTCCCACTCCAGAGAGGGCTCACTACCGGAATGGTGGGCCAGTCTTACTGCTTTTGCTGTTGTTTCTTCTTCAGTGGCTGCAAGAAGTAGATACCCTGAACTGCTTCATGACTGATCCTGTCTTTGGGACACGGGAATCCTATCAGCCAGGAGACCTCTTGATTGGTGGAATTGCTTCACAGTTTGCGTTCTTTTTCCATGCATTTTCATTCAGAGAATATCCTTGGGAGGAATTTTCTGACTTTATACCGTGAGTAATTCTTTGGTTTTTTTCCGTGCATTGTGCAAACTTGGCCAGCGTAGACATCCAGCATCAGTGTCCTCTAGAGACTCCTCAGAGTAGGAAGTATTCACAGGGTGAAGCCTTGTCCTTCACTGTCAAGGATTTTGTGGTTGACTCTAGTACCCATGCTATGCATTCTTTGAACTTCATGATGGAAAGCCATCTCTGCTTTTCTAACAGCAAGACTTATGTATATGATGTAAGACCACATCACTAGATGATACTTTTCTTCTCAACACAGACATAGTAGGGTACCTGAGTATTATAAATGCAAGAGAATGTTATCTTTCCAGGTGCCTTCTGCCCTGCTTGAAACACTTCTTTCTGCAAAAAAAGGGATCACATTCCCATCTCTGTGTTTCTGTCTCTGTCTTTCAAAGGGCAACCCTTTCTCTTTGAAATTGATAACATGTTCGTTCTCTGCATCTTATTTGGCTAAGAGCAGCTTTTAAAGGGTATAATATAGGGAAAGCTATATTCTTATTTAAAATAAACACCCAAAGAACTTATAGGAGGAGATGGACTCAAGAAAAAGCATCTTGGGTCTAGAAGGAAAGAAGGAATCCAAGTTGACAGTGAGAGAACTAATTGAGATGATGAGAAAAATGATAGACATACCAGTAAAGAAAGTAAAGAGATATAATGTAGTGAAAAAGCTAGTTGTGTTTGTCTCATATTGCTTTGTTATATACTTGTTCATACAACTTTGTCTCAGAGGGCTGAGGGTTGTGCGTGCCATGTCGAATCACATTTTAAAACCTTTTTCAATAAATGTTGGCTTTAGTCAACTTGGACAAACAGCTTGCCGAATTCTCTGGTGAAAGAATGTTTAACCCTTATTTGCAGTGTGATGACTAAATTCTACCAGCACATATTGTCTCTGGCTTTTGCTATCAAGCAAATAAATGAGGATCCCAACATCTTACCAAACGTCACACTGGGATTCCACATCTATGACAGCTACAACGATGCACAGATGACTTATGTTTCCACCCTGAATCTTCTCTTCAAATCACATACATTTGTGCCCAACTACCTATGTGGAATCCACAAAAATATGATAGCTGTCATTGGGGCACTTTCATCTCACACTTCATTTCACATGGCAAAAACTTTAAGTATCTACAAAATCCCACAGGTAAGGTTTATCAGTTGAAAGGTTTGGGAATTTTACTAATGTAGGAGGCTTCTCTTACAGAAGTTACAATCTCTCACTTTGCTTCTCTGAAGTGCATTTCTTGAAGAGGTCTTCCAAAATATTTCATGAAAGGAAAACCTTTGACCCAACTCTCCCTGTATCCCCCCTTCCCCACTTTGAGTGTTTTCATCATACAATATTGCATTCCTTGTAAAAGACCGTCAACCTTTCTGAATCTTAAGAGTTGAACAAAGTTTCCCATGAGTTTCATCATCATTCTATCAAAAATATTTTTCAGCTCACTTATGGCTCGTTTCCCCCAGCAGAGGATGCGATGAGGCAACATTATTCCTTTTATTACATGGCCACCAATGAGAAATCTCAGTACATGGGGATTATCAGCTTGCTGAAGCATTTTGGGTGGACATGGATCGGGCTGTTTGTTGTGGATGATGATAGTGGAGGACATTTTTTGGAGATCATGGAATCATTGTTTTCTCAGAATGGAATCTGTTCAGATTTCACAGGAAGAATACCAACCCAAGAACATGTATATGATGAGGTTGGACACCATCATATGATCTCTAATACATTTCAGGTCTTCCACTTGTCAACATCCCGAATAATTGTCATCTACGGCAGCACTTTAAACTTCCTAGAGCTGAGGTACATTATTGATCTTGGAGCTCCTAGAGAAACTGAAAATCCATTTCTTGGAAGAGTCTGGATCCTAACAGCCCAGATTGATTTTGCATTAGTGCCTTTTGGTCGAGGGTTAAAGGTGCGCGTGTTCTCGAGTGCCATTTCCTACGTGATTCATTTCAGCGAGCTTCTGAAGTTCCAAGAATTTCTTCAGAGCATGAAACCTGATTGGAGTGAAGCAGACTATTTTCTCAAGGAATTCTGGGAACAAACATTTGATTGTTTTGTTCCAGTTCTCAGACCAAATTATGAGATCTCTGGAACATGTACTGGAAAGGAAAGGCTGGAAGACATCCCACAGTCTTTTTTCGATACACACATGAATGGTCACAGCTATGGCATTTATAATGCTGTCTATGCTGTGGCCCATGCTCTACAAGCTTTGTACAAGTCCAGGTCCAACTTTGGAGAGAACAGAAACCTTGAACTTCAAGATATACAGCCTTGGCAGGTAAAGTCTCCCCAGTGAAGTGCCTTCTCTGTGATTAACAGAAAGTCACACAGCATCTGACTTTGTTGTCTGAAAAGTAACTGATGAACGGTGTCACCCTTTATTCCACAAATTAGCAAATCAGACATTTTACATTCTTTCATCATAGGAGAAAGATCGCCCTTCTAAAGGCTAAAACTCTGTTAGATGAGATGGCATAAAGCCAAATAAAGCCAAAGATTAGTCGTACGTGGAAAAAAGCTCACAATATCACTGGGACTTATTATTTTCTCCCTTCAGTTTTAATTGTTCTACAATAAGTGTGACTTTTGCTGTACTCAGGTCTTCTTCAACTGTGAATTTTCCACCAGCAATAAAGGGAACTCAGTACACCCAACTTTTTCATTATCTTTTTGAACACATGAAAAAACAATAATCTTAAGAAAAGGTGGCATGTGTGTGTGTTGTGTCTAAATGTCTGTGTATGTTCTGCATGTGAAACAGGACATAACTCTCTCTCTCTCTCTCTCTCTGTGTGTGTGTGTGTGTGTGAGAGAGAGAGAGAGAGAGAGAGAGAGAGAGAGAGAGAGAGAGAGAGAGAGAGAGAGAGAGAGAGAGAGAGAGAGAGAGAGAGAGAGAGAGAGAGAGAGAGAGAGAGAGAGAGAGAGAGAGAGAGAGAGAGAGAGAGAGAGAGAGAGAGAGAGAGAGAGAGAGAGAGAGAGAGAGAGAGAGAGAGAGAGAGAGAGAGAGAGAGAGAGAGAGAGAGAGAGAGAGAGAGAGAGAGAGAGAGAGAGAGAGAGAGAGAGAGAGAGAGAGAGAGAGAGAGAGAGAGAGAGAGAGAGAGAGAGAGAGAGAGAGAGAGAGGTTACTGGCATATATTTTACACACAAAGATTCTGAAAGATGTTTGTGTCTCCTCTCTTTCTCCTTTTTCATTTTTTCAACCTAGCTTCACCCTTTTCTTCAACACGTTTCGTTTAACAACGCAGCTGGAGAAAGAGTGTCCTTCAATGAGAAGAAGGAAATGATTTCTGGATTCGATATTATGAACATGGTTATCTTCCCCAACATGTCCATCCATAATGCGAAAGTGGGACGAGTAAATCCTGATGGCCTTGAAGGAAACAATTTCACCATCAATGACAGCATGATTACATGGGATCATAGCTTTAATCAGGTGTAAAATGCAGGCTCTCACAAGGGTTAGTGGTCTAAAATCCACAGGACGAATGACATTTGGGCCCAAAATTCACTATTTCCCTTGCCTGGTGTAATGAAGCGCATACGCTTTGCTTTGACAAGGAGGGATGTGATGGGAAAGTCCCAGATATCTAAATTCCTTGTAACAACATTCCTTTTTTACTCTTGGTATATACATTTGTCTTATACTCCTGAAAGAAGAGCTTCACTCCCTTGCTTTCTTTTGAAGTAGCCTTATTTTGGCACCTTGAACATAGACCTGTCTTTGAGAAAGGCATCTTCAAGTTGGGAATGATTAAATAGATTTAGGAAGTAGAGTAGTCTTTATGTACCCTCACACACTGCTGAATGCATATTTTCTATAGTTACATATATTACTATTTAACAGTATCTGCACCTGTAGATATTTATATATCTCTGTCTCTATCAGCATCCATATTTGTCCACCCTGTGAAATTTGGTGTGATCCGACTGGTTCTTAAAAGGTCCTTACTTTCAATGCAATCTGTTTTAACTCTTGGTACCCATATGGGAAGGTAGAATAAAGAGCTATTTTACATCTTAACAAATCATGCCAAAAAGACTGCATGCCCTAGCCCTGTACCGGAAAGATATGGGCCAGCTCTTAAAGGAGAAGGATGTGTTTCTAGGTAGAAACTCAAACAGGCAAGGTCTTTTTTTTTCTTGTGGTTGTTGTAGGTTTTTCGGGCTTCTTGGCCGTGTTCTGAAGGTGGTTCTTCCTAACGTTTCGCCAGTCTCTGTGGCCGGCATCTTCAGAGGACAGCAAACTGTGCTCTGGGTAGGCTTGAGAGTGGAGTATTTATGGCTGTGAGAAAGCTAGTTTGTGAGATAGGCTATTGTCCTAATCAGCAGATGGTTGATTAGTGTGTTTTGTTGTGGGTGTATTGTTTTGATAAGGAGGGGAGATTATCTGTCCCTGTGGTTGATGGGTGTCATTAGCTGGTCTTTTGTGTGTAGTAATCCCCTGACCTTGTGGCTGGGTGGAGTTCGTTGACCTTTTGCACTCTGTGGTTTTGAGAGCTGGGAGCCAGGTTTTGTTGAGCTTCATACTTTTTTTTCTGACAAACAGTGCTAGCAGGGATCCATACATCATAACTATATGGCAGTGTCAAAAGACTCTGTATCTTCTGTACCATTTATATAGGTCTGTCTATATCTATAGCTTTGCATCTCAATCAGAATTGATGCTCATACAGACATACAAGAAACCAGCTGACCAACTGTTGGGGGAAAAAAGTCTGGTAGATCAGTGGTCCCCAACCTTGAGCCTTCAGATGTTCCGGGACTACAACTCCCAGAAGCCTTCATCAACACCTCTACTGGCCAGCGTTTCTGGGAGATGAAGTCCAAGAACATCTGGCGGCCCAAGGTTGGGGACCACTGTGGTAGACGATTCACGGCACCAGATTCTGGACACTTCCACTTCACCTTACTCCTTATAAGGTATTTTAGTTTTCCCTCTTACTTACTTTTTCCCAAGGTTGGGGACCACTGTGGTAGACAGTATTTTTGTATTTTAGTTTTCCCTCCTACTTACTTTTCTTTTCAATGGCTAGGTGCCTCCATTTTCCATCTGCACTGAATCCTGCTACCCCGGTTATCAGAAGAGAAAGAGAGAAGGGAAGAAATTTTGTTGTTATGATTGTGTCCCATGCCCTGAAGGGAAAATTTCCAATGCCACAGGTAGGTCGTGCAAAAAGGCTTAACATGGGTGAAAATTCTTTTCCAATACTTCTAAAATGAAGTGCATATTTCAGTAAGAATAACCGTCTCTCCGCTAAAACTCCCAAGACCCAAATGAGCCTTCTTCATTCCAACCATGCTTAGGAACCCCAAATAATCTTTTATAGGCACCAAGAAACTGTTTCTCATCAGAACGGATATAAAATTGACTCAAATAAAAAGTCATATCAGTAATTTTGACAGCTACGGAACAGTTCCCAATAAGTGATGTTGTAGATACGGCAATACAGTGGTACCCCGCATAGTGAGGTTAATCCGTTCCGGATTAACCTTCGCTATGGGGAAACATCGCTAAACGGAACGGAAAAGCCCATTGGGCCCAAATGGGCCCAAAACTCACCGTTCTGCGATGTTTCCCCATCCGCGAAAACGCTGTGCATGGCCATTTTGGGTGTTCCGGCAGCCATTTCGGGTGTTACGGTGGCCATTTTGGGTGTTACGGCAGCCATTTTGGGTGTTCCGGTGGCCATTTTGGGTGTTCTGGCAGCCATTTTGGAACCGCCGAACAGCTGTTCCCCCATCGCAATGCGATAAAACATCGGTATTGCGGATTCATCGTTAAACGTTGCGCTCATTGTGCGAGGCACCACTGTATACTGAAAGAGACACGCTGCTCATGTTATCTCTTTCTAAGCTGAATCCTAGAGGAAGAACCCTTAATCAGGAAAGTTCTCAGACACATCCAGTGTGATAGACTGTGGAACAGACATACCAACATTTGGGAAGGAAACAAGAGATGGACGGTATTTGTATTCGTATACAAATACATAAACCCCTATCTCTAGCTATGAGTTAGCAGGACATGATTCCAATAGAAAGAGCTCTCACTTGATGTACAGTTTAATGTTATGATGGTGCTTTCTTCTTTTTCTTTCAGATGTTGTTAGCTGTTCTTCATGCTCAGAAGATCAATATCCAAGCAAAGACCAAAGTCACTGCCTTTCTAAAAATATATCTTTTCTATCCTATGGGGAGCTAAACATCGGTATTGCGGATTCATCGTTAAACGTTGCGCTCATTGTGCGAGGCACCACTGTATACTGAAAGAGACACGCTGCTCATGTTATCTCTTTCTAAGCTGAATCCTAGAGGAAGAACCCTTAATCAGGAAAGTTCTCAGACACATCCAGTGTGATAGACTGTGGAACAGACATACCAACATTTGGGAAGGAAACAAAAGATGGACCGTATTTGTATTCATATACAAATACATAAACCCCTGTCTCTAGCTTTGAGTTAGCAGGACTCATGACTCCAATAGAAAGAGCTCTCACGTGATGTACAGTTTAATGTTATGATGGTGCTTTCTTCTTTTTCTTTCAGATGTTGTTAGCTGTTCTTCATGCTCAGAAGATCAATATCCAAGCAAAGACCAAAGTCGCTGCCTTTCTAAACATATATCTTTTCTATCCTATGGGGAGCTCTTAGGAAAAGGTTTGGCTTTACTTACTCTTTCTTTCTCCCTGATGACCATCTGGGTGTTAGGCATTTTTATCAAGCACAAAGAGACACCCATTGTCAAAGCCAACAACCGGGAGCTCACCTACATGCTCCTCGTTTCCCTGCTGCTCTGCTTCCTCTCTTCTTTCCTGTTCCTCGGCAAGCCTGGGAAACTCTCCTGCTTCCTCCGACAGCCCCTTTTTGGCATCATCTTCTCTGTCGCTGTGTCTTCCGTATTGGCCAAAACCGTCATTGTTGTCCTTGCTTTCATGGCCACCAAGCCAGGGTCCAGCCTGAGGAAATGGGTAGGGAAAAAAGTGGCCCCCTCTATTGTCATTTCTTCCTCCCTCATTCAAGCAAGCATGTGTATTCTCTGGCTGGGAACCTCTCCCCCATTTCCAGATGTTGACTTGCATTCCGTTGCTGAAGAAATCATTTTACAATGCAATGAAGGCTCTGCTGTCATGTTTTATCTTGTCCTGGGCTATATGGGACTTCTCTCCATCGTCACCTTAAGTGTGGCTTTTATAGCCAGGAAGTTGCCAGACAGTTTCAACGAAACCAAGTTCATCTCCTTCAGCATGTTGATTTTCTGTAGTGTTTGGTTGTTGTTTGTTCCAACCTACCTGAGCACCAAGGGGAAGTACATGGTGGCTGTGGAGATCTTCTCCATCTTAGCCTCTAGTGCTGGATTACTGGTTTGTATCTTTCCACTTAAATGTTACATTATTCTGTTCAAGCCTGAGCTGAACAGCAAAGAGCAGCTGATGAAGAGAATGAATTAATAAATCTTCATGTCTCATTTATTGTGTTACTTGAATGAATATATGAATTTCAACTTTTCACCTCTTTAAATACTTTGAGCTCCATCTTGAACATGTCAATGTGTGGAAATTTTGTCAGAAATGTAACTAAAGCAGAATCCTTACCCAGATTTGGAAATACATCTGTGGAATGTTGTAAAGTGTATCAACTCAGGATATCAATGCAGAAGAAAACTTCTTTTTCTGGTTTCTAAACAAGAAATCTATGTGGCCCTTTCTCATGAGTTTCTGAGAAGGCAGCATCTAAGAGTTGAGCAAGCAGTTTTTCAAATTCTTCTGTTCCTCACTCAGACAAACATGCACACACTGGGTCTCCAGCATCCCTGGAATAGACTAAAGGTAAAGGTAAATGTTCCCCTTGACATTTAGTCCAGTCGTGTCCAACTCTAGGGCGCAGTGCTCATCCCCGTTTCCAAGCCATAGAGCCAGTGTTTGTCCGGTGACCGTTTCCATTTCCAAGCCATAGACCCAGTGTTTGTCCGGTGACCGTTTCTGTTTTCACGTGGCCAGCACAACTAGACACGGAACGCCGTTACCTTCCCACCGAGGTGGTACCTATTTATCTACTCGCATTTGCATGCTTTCAAACTGCTAGGTTGGCAGGAGCTGGGACTGGCGGCGGGAGCTCCCTCCGTCGCATGGATTCGATCTTACGACTGCTGGTCTTCTGACCCTGCAGCACAGAGGCTTCTGTGGTTTAACCTGTAGTGCCACCACGTCCCTTGGAATAGACTAACTGGCTAGAAATCATTTCAGGAAATGTGAAGAAACTTTGGGGCCATTACAGTCCTAATCAAGCTAGACAATATATCATATCTCTTGTGTTGATGCAAAATCAGAGAGGGAGCCATATCCGTCTCTCTTAGCTAGGATATTCAAATCCAAAAGATATAGAGAATATAAATATTGTGGATAACAGAAGCTAGTTGTAATCCATGAAAGCTCAGTCTGAAACAAATCTTCTAATCATTAATGTGCTTTTTTTGTTTGTTTTAGTACACAATGTATACCAGCTTTCCCTTTTGAAGCCAAGAAAGTATGCAGAACCAGCATAACTGGAAATACCGATTCATTGCATTCAGTGATATCATTTCTGCTAGTCTGTCCAATAAGGACACAGTTAACACATTTGCCCTGTGGAAAGCTTAGAATGAGGTCAATTGTGTTTATATATCCTCTTTCCTGGCTCAATCAGCCATTTCACATGTAGGCATAGGAGGGGGAGGTTGCTGTATAATTTTTAGGCAAGCCACCATATTCTGGAGACAAGCCACCATATTCTCTCTCTCTCTCTCTCTCTCTCTCCGAGAGAACTGAGTATTTCTCAATTGAAAGTTACCTTTCTGTTCATGTTAAAATTGTTGGTATGTGTTGTCAACACCTCTGTCTCTCTCTGTCTGTCTCTCTCTCCTTGTCAACATAAGGAATAAGGTCCTTTTGGTGTCTTGCCTAAGCATCTTTCTGGAAGTGGGATGACCAACTTGGAGAATCCCCTTTGCAGGACATCCATCTCTAGATTCTCTGCTAAGCATTAATGTCATTTTAGTATTTAGAGTGCCCTGGTAAATTATTCCAATTAGGGTGCAACTCTCTCACACCTCAGAAAACTTGTGGATATATGAATTATAACCATACTGGGACCTTTTTTGAAGGTCCATCCCATTCCCAAAATTGATGGTTCTACGTTGCCCTGACCCCACCAACAGCACCCCAGGTCATGATTCTTTGTTCTTCCCATGGGGATATTTGTTTCTTTTCTCTTGCTGATCCAGAAATAAGCAAAGACATGTAAAAGCCCAAGGATAAATCACTGGAGGCAATCTCCAAACAGGTCAGAAAGGGTTGGTTTCTATCTGTATGAGCAAGATTCAGATACAGATTGGGTCTGGAATAGAGATGGGTGCAAGCCGGTTCATCCCAGTTTGTGCCTGTTCATAAAGGTGAGTACCTTGATCCTCAGCTGATCAGCCACTCACCAGGCCCAGCTTGCTTGTTTTTTTCCACCTCCTCAGCTAATCTCCCGGTCACGAGCAAGAGCACAGACTTCTCTGCCCCATCCTTTTGCCTGAGTGGAAGGTCAGAGAAGCCTAAGCTGTTGCCAGGACTGGAAGATCAGTTGAGAAGGTGCATGAAGCTAGCACGCTGGGCCTGGCGAGTGACTGATTGAGCCAGAGGAGGTGGGGGAGGGGACCAGCAGCCCCTGCCCTGCCGCCTTTTCAAACTGGGATGAATTGGGACGGACCGGTCCATGCTCATCTCTAGTCCAAAGTTCCTGCATATCCCAGCATTTTCTCCTTCCTCATTTTTTACTCATTTTCCTTAGCACGTCTTCATTGGGTAGGTCCTTGACCTGCAGATCCTGAAATTAAACCGCTTTTTAAAAACACTTCTGATAGCAATCCTATGCGAAAGTCCGTCCTTTCACGTCCCACAACATCACTAAGATAAAATTCTGACATTTGTCCCAATGCTGCAGGTCTACTAAGAACAGGAATGCTGGCCAGACCAAAAATCTATCTCGCCCAGAGAGTGGCCATACAAATACCTTCCAGAAGTCCACCAGCCTGTTGTGAGCAAGATAACTCTTTCCGCGCTCTCCCAGCAATTGATACTCTGAGAAATGCAGGAGATACTATATGGCCACCACTTGAATTAGCCACAGCATTGGGTTTGTGTATAGGTATAATTCACTGTGGGTGCTGCAGTAGTAGAGGCCAGCATCTCCAGCCTCCAGCTTCCTGATTTCTAAGTAAACAGTGTTCACCGAGTTGTTTCTGGAGATGAAGAACCTTCCTCGCAGAGCCTTGTGGACACCTGCCCAAGTTCCATCAGGATTGATTTCTCCAACCCACTGAATACCGTGGTCCCCAATTTTTTGTGTCCACTCCACCCAGTACTGAGGAGAAGAAGAGGAGACCATTTTGCAAGACAAGGTCAAGTTCTCTCCCGGGCGTTTCATTTCCGAAAGTGGCTGGATTATAGAAATCCGGGATTCAGCCGCTGTGGGATAACAACAAACATTGAATAGGTTTTCATGTCATCAGTTTGGTGTTCCTTTTATGCACAGAGATGAACAGTTCTTCGACACATTTGTTTGTATTTCTACAGTTCCTGGTAGGTTGGAAGAACTGTAGAACTGGAAGGCATGTTTCATAGCCTCTTGGGCAAGGCACTCCTCCCTTCTCCTCTTCTTGATCAAGGTTGCACCTGACCTCATTCATTAGACTAATGGAGGTGGGGGAAGAGGAACATTGCCTCTTCTTTTGGATGTTGTTTTGGAAGGAAGCCCTGACAAGAATAAAGGGAAATAGGTCAAAAGAATCATCTTTAAAAAATTGAATTGTGCCACTGTGACGTAGAGAAATGTACAGTAGCTTGTTTACTGAACCCCATCATAGCCAACCAAAGTGAGATCATGCAACGCAACTAACCATAGTTCTGCCTTCAAGCCCATTATTTAATGGGAAGGCTTACTATACAGTGGTACCCCGCATAGTGACAATAGTCCGTTCTGGAAAAATCGTCACTATGTGGATTCGTCGCTATGCAGAAAAAAAAAGCCCATAGGAATGCATTAAAACACGTTTAATGCGTTCCTATGGGCAAAAAACTCATCGTTATGCGAAAATCCTCCATACGGCCACCATTTTCACTGCCCGGTAAGCGAGGAATCCGGGCAAAAACACAGAGGGTGGCCATTTTATTTACCCGGTGGCCATTTTGGAACTGCCGATCAGCTGTTCTAAAAACATCTCTATGTGAAAATCGGTAAGCGAAACAGCTTACCGATCATCGCAAACCAATATTTTACCATTTAAAACATCGCAATGCGATTGCAAAAACAATTGCAAAAAATCATCGCTATGCGGATTCGTCGTTAAGCGAGGCACCACTGTACACCGACTAAATGAATGACTCAATAAACAGTTCCCAGTTGTATTGTCAAGGAACAGAATCTTCATAATACCTGCAGGGGCACGCCATGCATGAACACAGACAGCACACAAAGATTTACAGCTTCGTTCCCAACATGGAACATGTCATGTAGTTTTCCCCTCCCCCACCCCATAATTCTTCTCTTACTCACCCAAGGAGATGGTCAGTAACATACAAGATAGTATTAAAAACGGCATGATGGTTTCTAAAGGACCATCAGCAAGCAACGACTGTTGTGTTTGGTTTGGAAGAAGAAGAAATCCTTCCAGGTAGGACAAGTGAGTAGTAGATCTTATACAAATTGCAAAGGAAATCCTATTTGCATGGGGAGGTCTGTAACAAGATTCAGTTTGCACTGATTCACCTGCAGTGGTAAGGACTACGGATTCAACTGCACATTTGATAATATTTTTTTGCTTGGCAGACAGTGCAGTAAGGTAGCCATATGAACTTCTGGCCAAGGATGGGAGGAATCACTTTGTATGCCCTTTATAAAATAGAAAGAAAAATATAGACATTTCTTGTTGCACCAAATCCACTCAGGTTTAAAAATATTAAAAGAAGCCCTTAGAGCATGGTTCCCAGCCTTGGATCCCCAGGTGTTCTTGGACTACAACTCCCAGAAATCCTGGCCAGCACAGCTAAAGTTGAAGGCTCTTGAGAGTTTTAGCCCAAGAACATCTGGAGATCCAAGCTTGGGAACCACTCCCTTAGAGCTAGTTTATGTGTCTGTGTGTGCACTGCCGCCTTGCGGTGTGAATTTTTAGCCATCAGAAGCATGTATATTTTTTTAGGAATCAGATTGGCTCTCCGTGTCCATTCTGTATATACTGTATGAGAGAAACAGAGAGCGAGAGACAGTGAACACAGATGCATGAGTTTTGTTTCACTAGTTCAATGTGGAATGTGTAGAAACTTTAGAAATTTTAATGAAGCAGCACTTCCTTTCTTCCTCTGGAGCAAGGAATCTGACCGGGCTTTGGAATTTCTCACTGGGGTGTCTTAATGTCGAGAGAACTTAAATA